AAATTAGTATGTATTTGAAGAAAAATAAAATCTTTCTGCACAGTACGTCAACTACTACTGGATCTGGAATTACTTTTTTTATACTTTCTGATATGTCCTGGTTTCAGCTGGGATAGAGTTAATTTTCTTCCTAGTAGCAGGCATAGTGCTGTGTTTTGGCTTTAGTAGGAGAAGAATGTTGATAACACGCTGATGTTTTTAGTTGTTGCTAAGTACTGCGTATGCTAGTCAAGGACTTTTCAGCTTCCCATGCTCTGCCAGGTACACAAGAAAACTGGGAGGGGGCACAGCCAGAATAGTTGATCCAAACTGACCAAAGGGCTATTCCATACCATATGACATCATGCTCAGTATATAATCTGGGGGGAGTTGGCCGGGGAGCAGCGATCACTGCTCGGGAACTGTCTGGGTATCGGTTGGCGGGTGGTGAGCAATTGCATTGTGCATCACTTGCTTTGTATATTATTATTGTTATTATCATTATTATATTGTTATTATTATCATTATTATTTTACTTTGTTTCAATTGTTGAACTGTTCTTGTCTCAACCTAGGAGTGTTTCTCACTCTTGCTCCTCCAGTTCTCTCCCCCATCCCATTGGGGTGTGGGGAGTGGGCAGGCGGCTGCATGGTGCTTGGTTGCTGGCTGAGGCTAAACCACGACATGATACATTCCAGAAAATTTGGGGTAAGGATAGCATAGTACATTACTTATGCTGTAAGCATTTTCAGACAGGGAATCTATTTTGATTGCACAGTGTTTAACAGAATTGGGTTCTGACATATATTCAGGTGTCCTACAGACTTGCTTGCATATCATATCAGATCAGTCTTAATACTGTAAACCTTTTCTGTAGTACTTTCCACAGCGGCTCTATTCAGACAGCTGCACATTAGGTAAAGGCTTTTTTCCATTTCTTTACATTTCCTTGATATGTGGGTCATATTCAACTCCATTTGTTTCAAGGGATGCATCAGACCAGTTTATTATGCAGCACTTACTGAAAAGCACTTCAGAACTAATGTTTTGTAACGGACAGGTCCATACAGATTGTAAGATGAGGAAACTACACATATGTAGAATAACTAAGCAAACAGTTTTGGCATGCTTTTAAAAAACAGTGTGCATTTATGCTCAAGTCTGATAGAAAAGAAAAAAAAACCCACACAACCACCACCCCCTATTCCATTACTTGTAGGCAAACATCTTATGCTTAAGAAGCAGCATAATACACTGCATCTGTGTAAACAAAAATTAAGATTTTGGTACTTTGGAGTTTTACAGAAACACTGGTTAAGAACTGGACAGGACAAACTACCAGAAAAAGAAAGGGAAGTGATGTAAAATTTTCCAAGGCTGTCAAGTAGTGAAAGTTTTTACCACAAGATGAATGTCACTAAAAATGTAATTAAGTATCCTAAGAAAAAGTTCTGAATCAATCTTCTGAAAGGCAAACTTAAAAAACAACCAGCAACGCTATCTTAGATAGGTGATATGGAGTTAAAATAGTATTACAGTTTGTGATATACATGCAAATACAGGCCAATTAGTTACTTCTGTGTCTTGACTGTAGAGACATTTGAATTACATAAAGCAATTGAATTGTTAGGGAAGTCAGATAGTTATCTTTGGTACTTACAGTCTTTAAATACCAGGGCAGGGTCTCAACGAAGAAGAACTCACACAATTACAAGCTGCAAAGACTCCAAGGTTCTGTCCATCTCGGGTCTGCTTTTCCAGAAAGCATCCACGAACTGTCCTCATACCTGAATTAGCTGAGTCTTGTGCTGAATTTTTGCACTTCATTGATGTACTGGATTCCTAAAGAATCTCCTATCTGCCACTCAGACACTGCCTCTAACTCCAAGATCCTTCAGAGGGTACACCTCCCTGGATTGCTTATCTTTGCTGTATGCTGAGCTAATTAGCTGTAAAGGCAGATGGACATGCTCATTGCTATTATTTCCTTCTGTAATGCACAGCCACCTATAGGTTATGGAGAGAAAAAGTGAGAGTTGTTTCATCAGGATATTGATGATGTGCTGAAGCAAAGATGGTTCTGATTTTTGCCAAATGAACAAAGAGACTCCCTTGCTCCCCAAGACTCTTGAATTCTAGGGAGAGACTGAAAATGTAAGCAAAAATGAGGTAAAGTTGTTCCAAATTCATTACCATGAAAGTAGCATGTGGACTCTTGTTTAAACAATGAATTAACTAAAAAGTATGCTTTTCTTTCAGTTATGTAACAGAAACACAACTTTGATATTAATGACAAGTGAAAAATGAAAAAGAAAGCAAAATTAAACTTGTGATGTATTAGGTTAACCCAATTTGAATCTATTTTCCTGGCATGTGGTTTCCAATTCCATGTACAGTAAGGGTATTAAAATGCCAGTGAATTGAACTATTTACATGTAAGAGAACACCACCTGTAGGTTATTCAGCGGTCTGAAGACACACTCTAATCAAAAGACAGACTGTGCTGGCAAAAGCCTGAAGTACAAATGCAAATATGCTGCGGTTATACAGCTGGAATTTTTTCCTTCAGTCAGGAGAGCTGTTTGTAGCAGCCATAAGCTACATCAACTAGAGTTACTTTGATGGTACCAAAATACTTGTATCAGTTAAGTCTTCCTGACTTGGCAAAAAATCCAAAAGTAAAGATGTGTTCTTTAGTTATGGTACAATCTTTTCTTCCATGTTCCAAAACAAAAATTAAGTTTTTAGGATTCAGCAGTGGAAAATGACTGCAAAACCTTGTACCTGCATCACTTCAAAGTTGTCACATCCTGTTGCATGTACTGAGTGTCCATAGTACAATGTTTGTCTGCTCCCTACTAATTCTCAAATTTTATTTGGTTACAAATCAATGAACTAATGCTACTTTGTTTGCTTATTAAAATAACACATTCTAAACCAATTTTTTTTATAACCCATA